AATTTTGGTCAAGTTGGCTCTCCAAATGAACATCAGCGGCTTGAGCGCACAACTTTCCCCGCGAGCTTGACTGGCGCGAACTCAGCTCAGCTCGGGCGTGTCGCTCCCCGCCGCGGGAGGGGGGGGGAGATGTTCACTTTGGTCGCAAAGCTCCGCGGCACATTTTCTCTCTTCACCCACAGGGATGGCAACGCCACAGGGATCGTCGGCAACTTCAAATGGCACCGCCCTCTTCCTATAATGATAATAATAGTTCAATTTGTAACGCGCGCAAATTTGCAGACGTAGTGGCCGCAACTCAGAGGCGCGGAGCCAAGCTCAAGAGTCGCTCGAAATCGTGATTGTAGAGGTGAGTTTTTAAGTCTCGAAAGAGGCGATTTAGGTGATGCTGCGAATGTGCAGAGGGATATCGTTCCAGACTGTTGGGGCTGCCACCGAGAAGCGGCGCATAGACATGACTATCCTGGATCTTGGTATCAAGAGGAGGTCGTGAGTCGCGCTGCTCAGGCATCTGCCGTGTGCTGAGCTGCAAGTTGTCAATAATGAAGAAAGGTAGCGGGCAGGCGGATATGAAGGCTTTGCGGCAGAGGCAGGCGGTCTTGTATGTGACCCTACTGGCGATGGGTAGCCAGCAGTGGCGGCTCCTGCAAAATCTCTCAGGGGGGGCAAATGTCTGGATGATTGATAAGGATAAGGTCCACCCATGCAATGGATAAATTAACAGCTTAAGCATGTAAAGGCAACTTCACTTCTTTAATATTAATGAATAAGTATAACCCGTAAAAACAAAGTTTTTCACTATAAATCCTTTATATGCTAGGCAGCGAACTTAATATAAAGGATTTAAAAATATATTCGCCTGTGGAGGACGCGGGGATCGATCCCGCGACCTTTGGCATGGGAAGCGAGGGCGCTACCAACTGCGCTACTCCGCCACGGCCTGTGGAGGGGTTACGCTCTGGGCTCTTATACTGTGACGTTCAGCCAAAACGATGAATGAGTTCTATTTCAATATAGGTAAAATAAAAATGTTTTGCCTAAAAAGTGTAACATTTTGGGAATTTTTTTTCACGAACATTAATTGTCTGGCACAACGAGTCTGTGTGGAAAATGTCAGCTCGATTGGATCACGGGAAGTGGGTTAAAAAAACGACCGAAAGATTTGCACGGTCGTAAGCAAGCAAGCACGCAAGCAAGCAAGCATGCGAACTTAATATAAAGGATTAAAAAATAAAGTGGCTCTTACAATACATCTTGTTTGTTTCTATACTCACTATTAAAACAAACCACTCAAGTTTCTTTCATTAAAGATTCCACTAGGTGGCGACAAATTATATTGTTGGATGACACGTGCTTACGTATGATGACGTAAGCACGTATGATGACGTAAGCACGTTAGGGCGAGCCCTCCCGGAAGCCATAGAGAATGCATTGCAGCGCCCCCGTTCGAAAAAAAACATCTTTGAATGTAAGTCTATGGGGCCACTCGGGGCGATTTTCAGCTGGAGGGAAATTGCCCAAAAAGAGACGGTACTCCACAGAACGTAGCATAACGCTGATTGGACTATATCCAGAGGCACAGTGACGGCTAGCGTGACTCTGTGGTTGAATGACATTGGTGGTGCGTCGCCCAATCGCCCTAATGAAGAAACCGCCCCTGGTAGCCAGTTGAGAGCACGGAGACAAGCTAGTGAGTCGAGACGGGGATGAGTGTGGGCAATGACGACGCGTGCTAGATTGTTTTGTAGTCTTTGAAGTTTCTTTAGGCTTTCTTTGGGTTGCCAGCGGAGGAGTTGCAATAGTCAAGGCGAGACCCAACTATGCAACATGCCAATGTGTTGGCAAATTCAGTAGAGATGAGAGGACGTATGTGTCTGAGAGCCTTCAGGTGAAAGTTACATGAGCTGATGATATGGTTGGTTTGACGGTCGAAGGATAAAGTTGAATCTAGGATGACACCGAGGTAGCTGAAGTGGTCGGTGAACTTGATGCTGTGACATGATGGCCACTGACTTTTTCGGATTAAGAGCGAGGTTGTGTCCCCCAAAAACCTTTGCACGAAAGGGGAATTTCCTCCACGGTTATTGTCCACGTCGTTTAAACTCGCCCAACAGCAACGGTCTTCGTTCACCACTAAGTGGCGGTGATGTCGCCACAGCGCTTGTGCCATGCCAGGTGCGCTTTGAGGCCACGTGTCAAAGGCCCGCTTGGCGGTAGGTCACGGAACAGACTCGGGGTGCCATGGGTTGACTGACTGAGATGGCTGGCAGATGCACCAACTGTGCTCCCGACGGCGACAACCCATTGCTATTTCGCCCGGGGCTCTGCTCGCTGTTTGAGGGCGACTGCTTCCAACTCCCCAGCACCGTCCTTCACGAACCTCCTTGCTTAAACTCATCCCCACGTTCCTGAACGGGGTTCAGCGGTGTGTGTAGTCCGTCTAAAACGTTCACTTGCTTTGTTTGATTTTCCCGCCTTTGTTGCGTTAATTTATGATATTCGCACATCATTAGATCGTTTTTACTTGTCTCTGTAACCCGTGTTTCCCTTAAAGAGATTGCAGTTTCAATGGACATGCCGACTTCTCCATTTGCGATTTAAATCTACTCGGATTCGTGTTTCATCAGTGCTAATAACAGGCTTTGTCCATCAGGCATACTGCCTAATTATTCCAAGTACCACATTTGCTCCTAATATAAAGTAGCTGAGTTATTCGCACCGTGTTAATTAAGATCAATTTATTCAGTTTTTTTCTCGGAGGAATTGTGCAAAAAAAACAAAGTGCACCTTCAGATGTTTTGAACATCTATTTACAGTTAATGCAATGCAGATGAACACATATTCACAAGAGCGATGTGTAGGCTATCTCTTATGTTCTCACTCTGTGTGATGCGGTGTGGGTTAACGTGTTTGTGTGTAGCGGTGGCGGAGCAATTACTTTACTGTGCTACGAATCTGGCGACCCGGGTTCAACTCCCACTCACGGTCAACACCAGTGGCAATTATCTGAACCGGCCCTTGCCCTCCCATAGGTCGATTAAGCCTCAAATGAGTACCTGGTGTGGTGTGTAAACATCTCCCCTGGGTGAGACAAAGGCGGTCGGGCGTGGTGCTGGCCACCCACTCCTTCGAGTGCTTTGCCGGTCTTCATGGGTGCTACTCGCTCACAGCACTTGGCCCAAAAGTCTGTGAAGACTATACGGGGAACCTTGTCTTGTCTTTGTTAAAGTAAATTGCTTGTACATTTATTGTTAATATAATTAGCCATTACATAATGGAAGAGCGCGTATACAGCCAGTCTTTGTCATTAACAAACAGGTTGGATGCCAATGTAAATATGTACTGGGGTGAGAGTGGTCCTCCTGACTCATGCTGCTAATTGGTGGGGATGAAATCACAACAGCATCGTCGAGACCGGTGGCTCTTACCTTGGGATGCACACACCTCTTGGGGGTGCAAGATGCCATTTCTGAGAGCCCAAGGGGCGCAGGCAGCGGTAAAGGTAAAAAAAACCACTGGTCTAGACGGAGTCCCGAGGACTGGAGGTGAGAAACACTGTCACAATCGGAACACGCCTACATAATACACACGGTGTAAGAAACTATTAATGAGAGCATGTGAGTGAGTGCTCTCTAGTGCTTCTGATTGGGTGGATGTATATCTGTCTGTCTATGAATGTGGTTAAAAGAACCAACATTTGTCCCTGAGCACGGGTGTTTCACTTCCTCATATGGTTCGCAGTTTATACATAATGTCAACAAGAAGTGTGATACAAACGCGCGATTTCCTGCTTAGAAAGTACTACGCTGGAAGTATGCACATGTTACAAAACAAGTCAAAATGTATATCCCCAATGCACAATGTACTGTGATCTAAGCTCTAGCCCTGTGCTTAGCCCAAGCCTTACGATTAGCAAGAGTCCTATCCAAAAGCCTTCAATGAATGCCTCTGCTTGTGAATTAAGCAGACTATTCAGCAGACAATTCACCTGGGAGTGCATAATTTCAGCAGCATTGGCTCTACACAAGAAAAACTCTAGACCGATCTAGACATAGTGTCTCATCAGCAGAGTCGGACTTGCTTGAACTGCCAGATATTTTTCGGAAAGGGCCGTCAATGTTAGAAGTGAGTCCCAGTTCGACGTAAACCAATTTAATGCATCACACGAAATAATAATTCGCGTCGTTGTGGTGAATATAGGAAAATAAATACTGTCATCCGACAATAGTTGAAGGATATGTGAATGAGGCGGGCTGGTACAAGCTAACAGATTCCAATTGTTTCTAAACACCGCACCATTAACAACCAATGCCCATGTACATTTTTGGACATGCCATTTTCGTCAATGCCATCTACTCTGAAGTGCCATGTTAAAATAGCCTGCAATGGGTCTTGAACGGATGTTTTTTATTCCAGCATCTGCAGTTATCGCCATAGGAATGTGTAATTTTCAGCGCTACCACGGGACGTACGACCACCTACGGAAATGAGCGTCCCACCAACGTCGGCTTCGTTGTGGGGACACTTTGACTCGGAATTTACTTTTGTGTACAGGGCCATTTAAATGTTTACAAATCAACATATTCAAGCATGGATAAAAGTTACGTTTATTTATACTGTAAACTTGCCATTAATTTCGTGGAGGATGGGATTTGCTTTCAACGAACCCAAACTCTCGCATGGAGTCATGAGTAATCTCGTGAGCCAAGGCAAACCATTATCAATGTCAATTATCTATTCAGAAAGTTCCAGTCCCAAGGCGTTTCAGGAGGGGTTTGAATTGGGGTCTTTGGTTAAAACCAACCGTCCAGGAGTGTTTTGTTTTAGCGCCGTGGTAGTACGAGGGACAAACACTCAGGCAGACGGGTCACCAAGACGGGCTTTACGAACCCACTTGGCGTACTGCAATCTCTCAAATTCCTCGCAGCAAGCGCAGCGCGGCGTGGGCGCGCATACCCCCTGCGAAGGCGCGCGCGAGAAAACGGCGCGGGAGAGCTCACCTCCAGCCCCATGAGGCAGTAGAGGACGCTAATGAGGGCCATGGGCAGCACGTAGAAGAGGAACGCGGTGACGGCGACGATGTACTTGTAGGGCCAGAAGTGCACCACGGTGCACACGGCCGACTCGTCGAGCGGCGAGCCGTCGGGCAGCACCAGGAAGTTGAGGTCGTGCGTCAGGGTGTTGGGCAGCGAGAGGAGCCCGGACAGGAGCCATAGCGCCGCGATGACGCGCACGGCGCGCCGCCGGGTGCTGGAGGAGCGGGCGCGCAGCGGGTGCACGACGGCGACGTAGCGCTCCAGGCTGAGCGCCGTGACGTTGAGCACCGAGGCGAAGCACACGGTCTCGAAGAGCGCCGTCCTGAAGTAGCAGCCCAGGCGGCCGAAGAGGAAGGGGTAGTTGGACCACATCTCGTAGAGCTCCAGCGGCATGCCCAGCAGCAGCACGAGCAGGTCGGAGATGGCGAGGCTGAATAGGTAGAAGTTGGTGGGCGTCTTCATGCCCTTCCTGCTGGCGATCACGGTGCACGTGAGGATGTTTCCTCCCACGCCCACGGCGAAGATGAGGCTGTAGGTGAGGCAGATGGGCACGAAGAAGTCGCTCTGCCTGCGCCCGCGCTCTCTCAACAGCAGCTCGTCGTGCGTGAGGTTGTGGGGCGTCGCGTTGGCGTCGCCCATCATCGTGCCGTCCGCGCGGCTCTCCTCGCTCTGCAGTCCGAAAGCCGATTGAATGAGATGCCAGAGGTGAAGGCGCTCTCCTTATTGCGGGCGTAATGCAGCACGCGGAACGCACGGACACGAGCCGCACTCGTAATGCGGCATTCCCGGTTGTGCGGGACACGGTGCCAACAATAGGGGGTTTTGTTTGTTTGTGTCAGATGGTAACGCGACCTCCCGTCAGTGTTAAGGACCCTTCATTCCGACAACTCTATGTTCCCGCAGCGAACAAACCCCGCCGGAATGTTCTGCTGCCCGCGACGCTTGCCAATTGGGCAAAACGACCGCGATTTTGTGTAAACGCCGTGCAACGGCAGCAAGCAGTTTCAAGCTGAACACCTTCTTGCCGAGCCACTATTCAATCATCCACTCGAAGTCTGTATTTCGCGTCAACTCAATGCCCGTGTAATACCCGCTCGCGTTCATGAACTATTCTCGAACGAAACGTCCCACCCTCCCCCCTCTCCACACTTCGCGACGCCAACTCGGCATCGCCGTCAAATCGGCACCGTGTGGCTGTGGAGCCACTGCCAAGGCGCTTGCCTCTCGGTCACGATCAGCGAGGCGACCGCAGGGCGCTGTTCACAGCGTGGGGGTGCTGAGCGGCGGCGGCGGCGGCGGAATTTATACCGCCGTGGGTGGCTGCGCTTGCTGCTGCTGCTACTTGCGCGCTCGGCTAAGCCAACCATCGGCGCTCATTTCCCTCCACCCATCCCTAACCTACCGACTCGTACTTCCCTCCATGCTGCAAGGGGTGGGACGATCCCCTCGCCCCCCACCCCCCACGGCGATGTCGTCGAGTTGCCGCGATTCGATGGAAAGAGTCGATGTTATAACCGTGTGTGTGAATTTTGGTTTGGGTGTAGAGGGCGATTCGCTTGGACTGTATCGTATGTGCAGTACTGTTATACTCGAGTCATCTCGTTCGCAGCAGCCAGCTATCTCGCCTACACGGCAGCTGTTGTTGTGTTGTTTGCACTGCTTTTGATTCCGTGTCGCGCTTTCTCTATCTCTCTATCTCTTTGCACTCTCTCATTTTGCCATTTCGTTTGCATAGCCTCGTTTGCATTCGTGAGTTCCGTCTCGTTTTTACTGCCTCGTTTGTGTTGTCAGCCTCGTGCCGCCCTCTCATTTTTAAATCCTTTATATTAAGTTCGCTTGCTTGCTTGCTTGCGCGCTTACGACCGTGCAAATCTTTCGGTCGTTTTTTAACCCACTTCCCGTGATCCAATCAAGCTGACATTTTCCACACAGACTCGTTGTGCGTGACAATTAATTTTCGTAAAAAATATTTAGCAAAATTTTACACTTTTTAGGATTTTTTTAAATATTTAATTACCAATTGCTTAATGCTGTCAGGCAATCATCTGACCCATAGGTGGCAGCCATCTCAAGCCAGAGGACGAGAGGACTCTAGCCGCCACGCATATAAAGGATTTATAGTGAAAAACTTTGTTTTTACGGGTTAATTTTTTACCAGTCATGTAACAGTATATAATGCGCACTACGGTACTTTGCATGAAGATGAACACGTCCATTATTACACGTGCGATTCGATGCACTTTAAGCCTTGAGCATCGATATTAATCGATGAAAATGGATCGATGCACCCATGCTACCTGCCTCAACAAATGCTCAACGATGATCATTAATGCGACTAACACCCACACAACCAAGGACATGATGCCCCCTCATTACACTACGCTGCATAAATGCCTGAATATACTTACGCAAATATATACAGTAAAACCTTGGATTGCGAGTAACTTGGTTTGCGAGTGTTTTGCAAGACGAGCAAATGTTTAAATAAATATTAATTTGATTAACGAGCGAGGTCTTGCAATACAAGTAGTACGTGTATACGCTTTGTCTGCCGAGCGTCACGTGATCACAACTGAAATACGAGTGCTTTGATATACGAGTGCTTTGGATTACAAACATGTTTCCGGAACGAATTATGCTCGCAATCAAAGGTTTTACTGTACACGCACACGAAACACACAACAACCGCCGTTTGCCACTAAGTGGCGGCGACGTCACCACCACGGCGCTTGTGCCATGCTAGGTGCACTTTTTCTGTTAAGTTTGTTGTCATTCCCCCGCACCTCCGATCATCATGGTTGGTTATGTGTGAAAGAAGTTCAACATACGTGTGCATACATAAATGAAGTGTCGAAAGCCTGCTGGCAGGATGTCATAAAACATACCCAGGTGCCATTGGTTGACTGACTGAGATGAATGCCATATGCACCAATGTGCATCCCACTCCGCCAATTTTCTGCGTTTTAACCGAATCGTTGTTGTGAGCGTCGCTGCTCTGTCCTCTGTTGTTTCTGGAGGGCGACTGCCTCCAACTCTCCAGCAGCGTCTTTCACGAACTTCATCCACAGAGGCCGATTTTGACATAGCTGGTACCAGTCATCATCAAGTCCAATCAGCTCCATATCTTTCCGTACCACATCAATCCATTTCTTTTCTAGCCCATGCCGCGTAGGTTTAGCGACACACACACACACTTCCTCCACGCAGGCTGTGGAGGAAGTGCAGAGATTAGACCAGAATGGCACACGGAAGGTGACGTTTCCAGAACCACGCTCGGTCGCGTGACTTGCCGGTCCTGGTGTTGGTTCACAACCTCATCTACTCAATTTATTCTGAGTCGATCTACGAGATAATTGGGGTGCCGGGTTAAGATGGGAAACTTCCACTGGGGTTGGGAATGCATTGCTTGGAATTAAACACTGATATCTGGGGTTGCAACACACACACACACACACTTTTGCTTCATGTATAAAAGCAAGCCATTTCTATTCTCCCACATACGTAGAATAATAATACACATGAGCATTTGCAGATGCCCGTACACGGATCTAGATACTGTAATGTGTACACACTACAACCCACACCCAAGCTCGCCTAACACTGAAACAAACATACTGTTAAGTGCTCTTAGAGAAGGACTATTAACAGTAACCCCCCCCCCCCCACAACATTCAATACGACTGCCATAATAGGGAAATGTATATAATTAATAATTTTTGGGCAATAACCCTTCAGAATAGCACAGATATTAAGGTTAGCAAGAAACGAGGGGAGGTGCCTTCCCAACACAGATTACGCACGCTGTTTAGACTAAGTTGACCTAACGAAAGGCACAGGAGAGGTTCAAGTATTTGCCATGAGGTTATTTCTGGCCAGAAATCGACCCTATTAAAACCTGAACAGCACTCAATAGGGTCTTGTGGCCAGTATTTTCTCACTCCAATGTAGTGGTGAGACGCACAATGAGAGTGAGTAAAAAATAATTTGCCACTGATGTTGTGAATTGCCAAAAATCGAACAATGATCGTTAGGATCGTAACTCATTGACACACTAATGTGCACGGATTTTTCAATTGTCCAGCGAATGCTGGACCTCAAAACACTCACCCACAAACAACCATAATAGTGTACACGAACAAAGACAAAGATCCCCCATATAGCCTTTAACAAACTGTTGGGGCAAGTGCTGTTAGAGAAAGAAATACATTTTGATTGCTCAGACCATCGCAGTGACATCATAGCCTATACTGTTTTGATGCTAAATAATAGAATTTACACGACAGCCGTTTGACTCGTGTGTTTTGGTACATTGCATTGGTATAAAATACACTCTGACAAATTTCGATTTAAAGCTTTCGTGACTGCAGGGATTCAGCTTCTTGGTTCTTTCGGTAAAGTCACGTAGAAGGGAAATAATAAAATAATAAAAATTAAACATAATAAAATACAATTCTTGTATTACAAATACAATTCTTGTATTTTATTATGTTACACAGAGACAGTTATACATTCATGTCAATTGTCCAGTGCTGTGTCTGCAAACTAAGGTACGTGGTACTCAATAATTCAAAAATGTAAATGAACATCACCGCATCACCACATAAACAATTGTGCAGGTCGAAAACGAGCCAAATAGATTTAACATGAGACAAACACATGCAGATTGCATGTTCATATTGTCGGGTGGTGCCAGGTTTAATGACACATTTATATATTTACGCCATCTAACTCAAAACACCTCCTATGGTTGAATAACAATTTAAAAACGAATAAAAACAATGTGTCCCGTGTGAAGGTATACATGCTTTATGAACAAAAACCATTCGTTTTCTGTCCTTTGAGAAGTCCCATATGGTCACGGGCCACTTTTGAATGTGTGAACATTCGTGAAAGAAAAAAAAAACACATCAACCGTTTGTGGGGATTTTGAGATTGTTTTGTTTAAATATTCCTTTGGGCACTTGGAGGTAATAATTCTGTTTTTTACGTCTCAACGTTGGATATTTCTACCGGTACAAAATGGTCTCAGAAACACGGCAGCTTGGATATTGACCATCTGGAGCCAAGTGGGACGCCCTTCACAGTAGTAGCATCACTCTGAAGTATCATGTGCACCGTTAATGTAAAGCAAAATCAATCGCTGAAGTAAATGGATACACGTTTATATATGTGATGCATTGTCCATATATTTTGTTCACAAAATGATCAGAAAACACGAGTTAAATTATTTTTAAGTCAATGTAAAAATGATCTGCATGCTCAAATACGTTTGGGGCAGTGATCTTCTCCATTTGCAGATTGGGGCCAGTGATAGAAATTCGACATTGGTATGGTGGGATACAATATTTATGTAGGTTAACAACCTCATAACAGTGGTAATTAATTTATCGACAACTAGCTGTACTACCCGGCTTCGCCCGGGACTTGTATCCACCACGGCCGGCCGGCTTTGTCTCCCCAGTGGCGATGTTAATATGCCACACCAGTTACTCGTTTGAGGCTGAGTCGACCTAGGGGAGGTTCAAATAATCGTCACCGGTGGTGGCCGTGAGCGTGAATCCAACTCGGTTCGCCGGGTTTGTAGCGCAGCGTAGCGTTAAGCATTACACCCACCGCTCCTCACACACCACACACGCACAGACACACACACAGACACACACACAGACACACGCAGACACACACAGACAGACACACACACACACACAGACACAGACAGCACGCTAAGCACTACACTACCGCTTCCCACACACCAGACACGCACACACACACACAGACGCACACACACAGACACAGACAGCACGCTAAGCACTACACTACCGTTCCCCCTACACAACACACGCGCGCGCGTCCATAGGTACACATACACGCGCTTGCTGCAGACACACACGACTGTCAGGGTGCGTACGGCAGTAAACGACTGCTATAATAAAGCGGCAATGCTGCGCGAGGAACGCCTTAGACCCCGACTCTGACGCCGACGTATTTGTTGTTCGCTTGTCTTTCTCTCTCCCCGAGGTCGCGTGGATTTGTTTCCGGGTCCTTTGGGTTTTCCCTCTACATTTAGAATCAACATGCATTTAGAGTATGTGGCTGCTATACATTTCCACGTG